GGCATGAACCAAATATTCAAAATTAAAACATTTCTAAAACAAAGTTTTCGTTAACTATCACCTAAATGAGTTTGTCACGTTAAAATTGAATTATTCGTATTTCACACTAACACAACTTGTTTATTAGTATTGTTAATGGGTTTTGTCACTTTTGTGACCCTATCAAAAACCCAACCTATTACTTTTGTGGTGGGATCGATCTTGTGGTACTAACATCTCGTACTAGAAATTGCCACCTTTACTTAAGTTACAATTACATAAGTTATATAACTAATGACATCAGATCCAATTACCTACATATATATCCAAATAATTAAAAAAATTATTTTTTTAACCTTAAATTCAAGTCTTGTAAGAAATATTATGGTTGACTCGATATCCATTATATAAAGATGATTGAAATCCTACATCCGAGTCTCACTAGAGACATTACAATTCACAATCTGCATTATTTACGGACAATTACGTATATCCTTAGTTTTATTTCAGCAATAATTCGAAAAAGATGTGATAATTGGGATGGTATATATTCTTTGAATAAGCATATATACTACTCTATCCCAACATTGATGTGATGCCCATACAAAGAAATATCCCCAATGATAACTTAAAAGAGAGTTGTTTCCAATTCTTTCTTCACAATTTAAAAGTCATCAACTCAAAAAATAATAATAATAATAAATCTACTCGTTTTCTAAGTAACCTTTTTGAGCCTAGACCCTCTGATGTATAGCAGATGTGATGTTCTTCAAAACAATGTCATTTTATACCAAAAAAAATGTTGTACTATTTAATAAAATAATATCGTTTTAATGTAAAACGGCATCGTTTTAAAGAACATCACCTCTATTATTAAAAAAACTAGTAACAGAGGATCGGAATCCGATCTTTTTACAGGCATAATAAATGATAGGAATAAAAAGAAAAGAAGATAAACTAAAGAGTTGATCAAGAGAAAAGAAAACAGAATGATTGCAATCACCATGNCATAATAAATGATAGGAATAAAAAGAAAAGAAGATAAACTAAAGAGTTGATCAAGAGAAAAGAAAACAGAATGATTGCAATCACCATGTCTGTTGCTATAATAATACTAACAGAAGTGCAAGAAAAACTCAAATCTATGTACTTATTTTTAGATTATATTCAATAAATTATTTATCTAGCAACTTGGAACTTAGAAACTAGGGAAACTCATTAACATATATATAACAACATTCCCCAGATAACAACCATGATCTTATATGCAGACAATGACTCAATAACTACTCGTATCACCAAAACCCAATTTATATACTACCAAGAGAACTTGAAACTCGGTTGTTATACGCCTTACTCTTTGTTCGACCTTTGAACTGACCATTTGGATACCTAATTACTTGTTACCACTTATTCTTTTTTGCAGCTACGCGTTTGGATCCAAACTTAGCTCCACGGGATTCATTCTAAATACGCTGTAATGCTCAGTTTTTTATCGAAATACTAGAGCATTAAAATAATTATATCCAGTCACTTATAGAACGCATCATTGTATTTTTTGGATTGTCATTAGCTGTATCTCAAACATGGGTTGTGGTAGATNCATTAAAATAATTATATCCAGTCACTTATAGAACGCATCATTGTATTTTTTGGACTGTCATTAGCTGTATCTCAAACATGGGTTGTGGTAGATTGTTTGATTTCCATTTTTCAGATTTTGAATTGGGTTTGAATTTGAGGTTTTTTTTAATTTGATGTTTTTGTTTCGAATTGGTTGAGTTAGTCAGAAATGAGGTTGGGGGTGGTGTTGTGTAATGGTGGTGGAAGGGAGAGTCAGGTTGTCCATGGTGAAGAGCAAGGTAACGTTGGCATTTTTAGAACCAGTTTTGGGATAGCATCAACCTTTTTTCAGTTGTCAGTAACTGTTCGTCACTGTAAGGAATGNGTTTCGAATTGGTTGAGTTAGTCAGAAATGAGGTTGGGGGTGGTGTTGTGTAATGGTGGTGGAAGGGAGAGTCAGGTTGTCCATGGTGAAGAGCAAGGTAACGTTGGCATTTTTAGAACAAGTTTTGGGATAGCATCAACCTTTTTTCAGTTGTCAGTAACTGTTCGTCACTGTAAGGAATGTGAACGAAGTGAACATATAAACTAAAAAGAACTAGTGCAGTGGAATTTCAAGTAATAGAAAATAATCTATATTAGACAATGGATATTGAGGATTCTAGAGACCGGTGCTGGATTTGGTGGATGAAAGTCCCCCAAAAATTCAGAATGTTTCTTTGGCCTATTAAACATGATAAGACTTCTTTCTAATAATCTTAGAGCTAAGGCAGTCTGGCACCATTTTGGACCNACCGGTGCTGGATTTGGTGGATGAAAGTCCCCCAAAAATTCAGAATGTTTCTTTGGCTTATTAAACATGATAAGACTTCTTTCTAATAATCTTAGAGCTAAGGCAGTCTGGCACCATTTTGGACACCCCCAAAACAGGACTGTTGACTATAGTCTGAATCTCTCAAGCTGGCTAGAGACTTACTGTAAACAACCTTATGATAGACAAGGGCATGGCATCCTTTGGACCACATTGTTTATTTCCATCTTGTGGAATATACGGAAGTATAGGAATAAGCATTGCATTGAAAATATAGTTACACCTTCCTTTGTAATTGCCAAAGCTGCAAAACAGCAAGCCCAGGAAACTACACGGGCTTATGCTAACCTACCGTTTGAGTCTCACCCCAAAGCATTAAGAATAATTGCTTGGAATTTTCCACCTACAGGTTGGTGCAATCTCGACACAGAAGGAAGCTCAAAGTGCAACCCTGGGCCAGTGGTTGTAGGAGGATTAATCAGAGCTGAAAAGGGAATCTGGATTCAAGGCTACTAGGGGAGAATTAACAACACATCAAGCCTTCAGACAGAATTTTGGGCCATCTTAAAGGCCTTAAACTCCTCAGGTAAAGCTCTGTAAAAGTCATTGTTGAGACTGATTCCTATGAAGCCTACTGCCTCATTCTGGAACTTTAGGTGGAATGCTTACTCTTCAAGCATCTTGTTGATAAATGCAAGGACATTATCAAATCTCAAAACTACAAAGTCATGCACACCTTGAGAGAGGGAAGCCTTCGTTGAGCTTGCACGCCCACCGGCAAGACTCACAACCTGCCTGGGAGTTGATTTGGCGGGCATTTCTTTTATAAGGGAACCAAGGTGAATGTAACTGAAGTTCCCCCCTATGCACAGGAAAAAAAGAAAAGAAAAGAAAAGAATCTATAAGACCTGTGGATGAATTTATCAGAGTTTAAGCAAGTTTTTTGAAATTGAGATCCTATATTGGATCGATGGGTGAGGCTAAAGGATCAGTATTGATGGATCGGATCGAGACAAAAGTCCATATATAACGATATAGAATTCTTAAAAACAAAATTAAGCAAGCCTAGTATGTATATTTTGCTATCGAAGGTAGACTATTGATTTTGAAGGATTTTGTGGAAAAAATACGAAAAGTAGAGTATTTTAATCTTAACTTTATGAAAGAGATTTGCATAGATCGACAATTATATGAAACAATTGCATTTGGATTGAGTTTTTAAGTATTAAAATATTAAATATGACTTGAATCATCTCAATAACTAATGCTCCTAACAAATGAACCCAACAACACAAATCAATAAAATCGCACTTCGAACCGAGATCATATGTTTCTACAAAATTAGGATCCCGATCTGTTAGGATTCTATGAATTTGGAATTCTATAAAAGTCTTGATCGATTTGTNATATTAAATATGACTTGAATCATCTCAATAACTAATGCTCCTAACAAATGAACCCAACAACACAAATCAATAAAATCGCACTTCGAACCGAGATCATATGTTTCTACAAAATTAGGATCCCGATCTGTTAGGATTCTATGAATTTGGGATTCTATAAAAGTCTCGATCGATTTGCNTATAACGATATAGAATTCTTAAAAACAAAATTAAGCAAGCCTAGTATGTATATTTTGCTATCGAAGGTAGACTATTGATTTTGAAGGATTTTGTGGAAAAAATACGAAAAGTAGAGTATTTTAATCTTAACTTTATGAAAGAGATTTGCATAGATCGACAATTATATGAAACAATTGCATTTGGATTGAGTTTTTAAGTATTAAAATATTAAATATGACTTGAATCATCTCAATAACTAATGCTCCTAACAAATGAACCCAACAACACAAATCAATAAAATCGCACTTCGAACCGAGATCATATGTTTCTACAAAATTAGGATCCCGATCTGTTAGGATTCTATGAATTTGGAATTCTATAAAAGTCTTGATCGATTTGTGTGAATTGAATCATCTCAATAACTAAAGGAAAATACTACATAATTTAAATGAAACCTAAAAATTACAACTTAAATGCATATTATGTTTTGGATGAGTGAGTCCCACCGAAAAAATTAATAAGACCCACTCATTCAAAAAATAATATGTGTTTTGCTTTTAATTTTTTGAGTTTTATTTGAATTGTACATCTAACAAACGAACCCAATAACTTGGATTGANCTAAAAATTACAACTTAAATGCATATTATGTTTTGGATGAGTGAGTCCCACCGAAAAAATTGATAAGACCCACTCATTCAAAAAATAATATGTATTTTACTTTTAATTTTTTGAGTTTTATTTGAATTGTACATCTAACAAACGAACCCAATAACTTGGATTGATAAAATCACACTTCGAATCAGAATCATATGATTCTAATAAGATCCAAATCATGATATGTTAGGATCCTATGAATTTGAGATTCTATAAAAAAAACTTAGATCGATTTGCTTATATTAAATCGTGCAATAATCCGGGATTTTGATAATCATGTAAGTGGATCCCCCTAATTTGAGAATATAGTTTTAGTAGCATAGGGCTTGGGCTCAATGGGACCAAACCCGTCTTTGGCCCATATGGCTCACATTCAAAGCTCCGACGACTTATCCAGTTAATCCTTATCTGTCGGTCGCTTCCCTCCACAAAGAACAACGCTTCGTCTCTCTCATCGTCTCCCCATAGAATTCTCACAGGTCGAAGCTCAGAATAGTAAGAATGTCTCTGCAGTCAGTCAGTTCTACATCTTTTAGTGTATATCTTTTCTACAATTTGTGAATTGTTGTAAAAGTTTGCAAATGCCTGTTCTCTGCCTTGTTCGAACTATCATGTTAGCCTAGATTAGATTTTCAATTTGAGAAGTTACACCCATTTGGCCATTTGTATTTGCATTACCCTTAAAGGGGATTTCACAAATTTCTCAGTCAAATGTTTATCAACCACTTTATAAATGTTCCGGCCTTGTTAGATTCTCGATCAAAGAGCGTAGAAGAAGAAACGTTCTATTGATGCCATGTTCTTTGTTTAAGTTAGTGAATTTGTTTTTGTCATGGGTTTCTCTGCCTGTAATATGTTCTGTTCGTCCAACCCTTGTGGATTAAGCCAGGCAATTAGACAGACCCTTCACTCCCATTTGTGGGGAAACTTGTTTTTGCAAAAACCCACAACTTTGGGATATCGTAGATTCGATTTTCTACGGGTATTAGTTGTTAGCAATGTAGAAGAGTTAGAGAAAGTTGAAACCAGAGAAGAAGAAGAAAAGCCAAAGATTAGGTGGCTTGAGATAGGCTCTGATATTACTGAAGAGCAGAAGCAGGCTATATCTCAGCTATCACCAAAGATGACAAAACGATGTAAAGCCCTCATGAAACAGATTATTGGTTTTTCTCCTGAGAAAATTAGTCTATCAGTTTTGTTGACTGCATGGGTGAAGAGTATGAAGCCTTCAAGAGTTGACTGGCTTTCCGTTCTCAAAGAATTGGACAGATTGGAACATTCGTTGAATCTTGAGGTGTGGTTTTCAAAATCACTTTGAATTCATATTGCTTGTTGATTTGCTTGGTTTTTCTCATTTATCTGTTAGTCTATGTTACTTTTTTTTAAACTGTTTATTAGAAAGGGCTATAATTACCAATAGACTATTATGTTAATTTCAAAATTAAGTCGGTTTGGTAGTTCGGTTATGGAAAGATTGCTTTTGTACCTGTCATGCTTGAAGAAGATTAGAGATCTAACCAGATGCAAAAACAGAGCAAAGAGAAAGAGGGAGAGAAACAGATTTTATTTATTCACTGTTAAGTTACAATTACATTGATGCCCTATATATATATACACACTTAAGAGAACTCTTAACCGACTAACAACTTGTACAGCTGGCAGCTCCTAACTAACTGCATGTCTTTTGAATTCCAGCTGGATGATTCTAGGCTGCATCATAAGCTAAGGAGGATCATATACTGCAAGATCCTTAATAATGCTTTGATACGTTTAATGGACCTGATTTGAATGCTACTGCCAGAGAGTTCTTGGCTTACTGTTTTCACCCTTAAATTTCAAATTTTAGTTTGGTATGTTGGGCCATTTTTAATTAGAACTCCACATATTGGTCTCTGTTGTCGCTATATATGGCATGTTACAATGTCTCCCATAAATCTAGTTTAAGTGTTCTTGTCAAAATATTTTATGCCATGCCTTGTGGTCTCAATTTGTAAAATCTAAAAATTTAGAACACTTAATTTGGCCATTCCTTAAAGAAAGATCATAACAAAATACACCTGATTATGTCATCATATCAATGAGTTTAATTTTCAATACCACCATGTAGTTGTGTTGTGCCCGCATCCTATTGACTTTTACATTTTAGGTGTGATCTATTTAACCGAATTTGTCATTATTCTTATGGTATCTGGCCATTTCACTACCACTTTGCCTCCTACTCAGCTATGTACTGAACTGAACTTTGCCGCATTTTGTCCTCTTTTTATCCTGCCTTCCATTCTCATTTATCGGTCATTTTACACCTTCATGTCTATATGAATATTAACACCTGACTTTCCTTTGTCCCCCTTCCCATTGTTTCATTCCAAATGCGATCTTGTTGTTTAGGTTTTGGTCTGTCTGCTTAGGAAGCCGACATGTTCAGATATTTTGACGAGTATTTAATGACGTGTAAAAACTGAAGAGCCCTCTGAAAGTAAATTTTCTGGTGCACAATTTAATGTCTAGTTGTGTTGAAATCTGTTCGGCAATTAGTTCTGGTGAATGACTTGGATTGTCACCTTCGATAACATCTTTAGGAAAAAGCACTACTTGGCACCTAGTGGCTCAGGTGCCCAGGTGAGATTTTTAGGGATGCTACAGCAGTCTTTCTAACAATTTACACAACTATAAGTCTTATACTTTGAGAATTTTGAGCTTGTAGACTTCATGTTACTAAGTTCATTCAGTGTTTGGTTGTGCTTCAATCGGGTGTTTGTTTGAACTGGTATTAGATTATTTAGAGCATCTCCAAGAGAATGGCTAAAACTCCAAAATAGCTAAAATTTAGCTATTCAATGACAAAAAATATGCTCCAATAGAAGATGTTCGGAGTAGGTAAAATATATTTTTGCTATAGTGATGCTCCATATTTAGAGTATCACTATAGCATTATGTATAAATAGCTTATATAGTTTATAATATATTCTCTCTCCTCTTATCATTTACTGCCTCACTTGTCTACTCTTTGTCTTTCCCTCCATTTTTTTTCTTTCTCCCCCTTTAGTAGTCCCAACAAAGGTACAAGATATGAGAAATAATATTTAGAAAAAGTAGTTAAAATATAGAAAATCTGTTGGAGTATACATTAAAAAAGTGAGTAGCTAAAATAGAAAAAGTGTACTTTTGGATGGCTAAAATACAAAACCTTTTTGGAGATGTTCTAACCACATTCAGATGGGAATTAGGCATTGGCAACTTGCAATTCCTCTATCTCTTAAATTCAGACTTTTCAATCTCGTGGTAAATGCATGCACTTATGCTCATGCTTGCATCTTGGAAGTTGTTAAACTTGCATGAACTTCCAAGGTCTAATGCCACTTTAGTAAAAAGTGGTTTGACTGTGAAGTCACAATGCTCTGCAACCTGTCTTCTGGAGCGCTACCAATTGTTCTGGGGCTCTACGGGAAGCATAGTTTGTACAGTTTCATGTGCATGCTACTGGAGTATATCAAATTTGTTAGCCTTGACATCACTGTTCGATCTCACAGCTCTTTGCTTGTTTTTTAGGTTGCAGAACTTGCCCTCCTAGAGGAATCGTTTGAAGCCAATGTCCGTGACTACACCAAGATAATTTCTGGTTATGGAAAACAAAACCGTTTGCAAGATGCTGAAAATATCCTGTTGGCCATGAAGAGAAGAGGCTTCATATGTGATCAGGTGATCCTTACGGCTTTAATTCATATGTATAGCAAGGCAGGAAATCTTAAGCTGGCCGAAGATACATTTGAAGAAATGAAACTTCTTGGCATACGGTTGGATAGAAGGTCATATGGGTCAATGATCATGGCCTATATTAGGGCTGGAATGCTGAAACACGGAGAGAATTTAATTAGAGAAATGGAGGCCCAAGAAATTTATGCTGGTAGAGAAGTCTACAAAGCATTGCTGAGAGCATATTCCATGATTGGTAATAGTGAAGGATCTCAAAGGGTGTTTGATGCAATTCAACTGGCTGGCATCACACCTGATGTGAAACTGTGTGGGCTGCTTTTAAATGCCTACGTAGTGGCAGGTCAAAGTCGTGAGGCTTGCATTGCGTTTGAAAATCTGAGGAGGGCTGGTCTTGAACCAAATGATAAATGCGTGGCTCTAATTTTGGCGGCTTATGAAAAGGAGAACAAGCTTAACAAGGCGCTGGATTTTCTCATAGATTTGGAAAGAGATGGTATCATGCTAGGGAAAGAATCTTCAGAATTATTGGTTGGTTGGTTTCGGAGGTTGGGGGTGGTAGAAGAAGTGGAGATTGTCTTGAGACAATATGGTTTGAAGGAAACAAAATGTGCAGTACCTCCTTTCTAATTCATCTTGAAGCTCTTTCCTAGATACATTTAACTGGGAAACAGCCTCAATCACCAATTCAAATATACGCCATTTGGTTGTGGAGAAGGTGGAAAAAATATCAGGATATAATATATTGTAATGCCCTGAAAGGTAATATTTCTCTCTCTAGCTCTGGTTTAAGGGAGACATAATATCTAAACCTGCAATATATTCATTAATCTGCTCATCTGATTGGTCTTGCCTTTTTTATCCAGCTATCTTATTTGGAACTCATTGTTCATGCATGGCATCTATCCAGTGAAGAGTGTTAGCAAGTGCTTCTTGTGGTCTATGATATTCAAGCTAATGTGCCCCTCAGCCAATGCACCGACTATCTGAGCTGTTCTATATCCTGTTTACCTGATAATGGAAGCTACTTATCCCGACTTTAAGTGGCTGCTAAATTGCCTTTGCGGAACACGAAAGCCAATGGAAGTTACTTGTACCAGGAGTAGATTAAATCTTAGTACTTGCTAGTGTTTTGTCTTTGTTAGCATTTACGTGTATATTTTGCACAATCTTACTTGACCATGAAGAATAGAAGCTAAGTGGCAATTTTTTCCACAGTAGTTGGGAATGTTTATGTGTTTGTTATTTTTGTGTCGCGATTTCTATCTATAAAGAATCTGCCTAGTTTTTTCGACATGTGTGGTATGCGGATGATTGGGAATGTTAATATGTTTGTTTTTTATGTCGCGATCTATATCTATAAAGAATCTCCTGAGTTTTTTTGACGTGTGTGGGATGCGGGTGATTTCGTGTATGTTATCAAAAAGAGAAAAAAAAATCCATGAAGGAGCCTCTTTCAACTCCTACACATATACGAGAAATACAAAATCTAGTTATGCAATACCTACATGTGAAAACCAAAATTAAATTAAATTAGTAAACAAAGGAAAAACATACATAGAGAAATAAATAAATAAAAGTTATTTGTAGTATAACTTGACCAGTTAAAATAAAAGACAAAAATTTAACTACTTAGTTGAAACTTCACAATCTAGGATCCAAGGGTAAGAACTAGCTAAACATGTCAGTCTCATCTAGAGTGGGGTTAAAAATGTGATGCCTCACACTGGTGGAGACCCTTGACCATGTAAAAGTTCATGTGCCAATTCACGGAGATCACGACGGCCGCCGCCATGGTCAGCGGCCAACAGTGATATCTCGCCTGAAGTACTGGTACTGCCGCGGCCAAAGTGGTGTGGATCCATTTGCTGTTGGTGCAGTGTCCATGAGTGTTGCACCATTGGATCAAAAAGTGCCGATAAGTCGTACAATGGAGGAGCAAAAGAAGCTGTTGGGAGGTCCAGTACCGATACAGGAGGTGATGGTAATAGCGGCTGAGGTGGTGGATGTAGTGGCGGAGTTGGAAGCTCTAATGTTGCAAGATGAGCTCGTAAGTATGAGAGCTCTGCTTGTAGACTCACCACCTATAATGCAAATATCTCAAAAAACAGTTACATTCTCTATCTTTTAATTGGAATTGAGAATTATGAATTTAACTTATAAATTTATAGTTCATTGAAAAATTACCCAAACGATAAATTGGTATGAACACCCGTTGAACAAAAAAAAAAAAAATTACCCAAATTATGGTGTGAAAATTTGTATGCAGATCTAAGTGCCTAATCTTGCCATATGCCGTCACATCATAAACGTATCGAATGTAACAAGGTTCTCATATCAATCTAACAAAAATGCTATTTATACTTGATAATTTAATGTGTTGTGGTCATTAGAATAATGAAAGACTTCATTCAATTCCGAGTCCCAATGACAATCTAGTAGTCATAATGTATCTATCTTTCAAATGAAGTTTCATAGCACTGCTCTTGATTTAAACCATCATTCCTCTTCCCTCACCCCCAAACAAAACAAAATTGTTAAAAATAGAATATTGGATAATACTTTGTTGTTAAGTTTATTTAGTTGATTTAGGAATATAAGAGATTATGTCTTGCATCTTGTTATGTGGTTAATAGTCTAAGAAAATGAGTGGTCAAAATATAGTTATCTTGCAACCTATATGTATGTTGAAATATGAAATATAGGTATGGAAAATTATTCCTAAAGACTTAGTTATATTGTCTTTGTTTTATCTATCACAAACATACAAAGGCTGAAAATATAGCCAACATAAATGGTATCAGAGCTAGTTTGATACTAACTAGCTGAGCGTGAAATTTTTCATTGGATGAACAAAGTCCTAGTGAAGAAGATCGAAATGGAAAGTGGAATCAACATATCTATTGGTACACAACAACCGCCTTTTCTCGTCTTTGACAGTGAAAATTATGATTATTAGTGTGTCAAGATGAAAACTATATTTCTCTTTTATTATCTTTGGGATTTAATTGAAATTGGATTTGAAGAAGATGACAACAGCTCAAAGGAACCAATTAAAAGAAAAAAAAATAGAGATGCAAAGGCTCTTCATTTGATCCAACAAGGAGTAACAGATATAATTTTTTCAAGAATTATCAATGCTACAAAATCAAAGATAGCATGAGACACTTTACAAGATGAGTCTCGTGGTCTAATGAAGGTAAGAGCCGTGAAATTACAATCCTTGAGAAGAGTTTTGAGATTTGTAAAATGAAAGAGAATGAATCATTAACTGATTTCTTTTCTAGACTTATGGATATTGTAAATCAAAGGAAAACTTATGGAGACCAAATTTTGGATTCAAGAATTATTGAGAAAATTTTGATTAGTTTGTCGAAAAAATATGATTCTATTGTTTCCATCATTGAAGAAACTAAAGATATTTCTTCTTTGGGTGTTCAAGATTTATTAAGTTCTATTAAAGCATTTGAGCAAAGCTTGAGTAGGCATGTCGAAAAATATGTTGAGAGTGTTTTTCAATCTAAGCTTAATATTGACTCCAAAAGTCATGAATCGTCAAGTTCTAATCAATCTAAAGGTGAATTTTTTAGAGGAGGGAGATTTGGAAGAGGAAGAGAAAATTTTGAAAGAAGATCAAATAAAAAATCCACTCAACAAAAATATGAAATTTGTATAAAATCAAATCATATTGATAAAGATTGTTGGTTTCGTGAAAAACTTCAATGTTTTAATTGCAAAAAGTTTGGTCATTTGCAAAAAAATTGCCGGTTCAAAAATAATCAATAAGCTAATTTTTTTGAAAGAGCAAGAAAGTAGTGAAAACATGTTTTATGCATGTCAAGCAATGTCCGAACAAAGAAATGATGTATGGTATCTTGATAGAGGTTATAGTAACCATATAACCGGTAATGATAATATTTTTGTGAACATGGACACCACTTCTAATTTTCAAGTAAAGATGGAATGATATCATGGTTCAAGCAAAGGGCAAGGGAACCATTGCTATTGAAATAAAGAAAGAAACAAAATACATCCAAGATATTTTGTTAGAACCAAATTTGGAACAAAATTTGTTTAGTGTTGGTCAACTTGTAAAGCATGGGTACTCCGGGGTGTTTGAGGACAACTCTTGCATGATCTATGATTGTGGGGAGAAAATTTGGTCTTTGAAGATGAAAGTTGTTGATGATTCTTGGTTTTGGCATAGAAAATTTGGGCACTTGAACTTTCAAAGCTTAAAGATCCTGCAACAAAAAAACATGGTTTATGGATTGTCATTTATACAAGAAGTTTGTGAAAGATGTGCACTTGGAAAACATCATAAATATCCTTTTCCAAAAGAAAAAGTTTTGAGAGTCAAATCACTGTTAGAGCTTGTTCACATTGNCAAGAAGTTTGTGAAAGATGTGCACTTGGAAAACATCATAAATATCCTTTTCCAAAAAAAAAAGTTTTGAGAGTCAAATCACTGTTAGAGCTTGTTCACATTGATGTTTGAGGACCATCAAAAACACTTTCTCATGGAAGTAACAAATACTTCATAATCTTTATTGATAATTTTTCAAAAATGACTTGAGTTTATTTTATGAGACAAAAATCTGAAATTTTTCAAGTATTTAAGAAGTTCCAAAAGTTTGTTGAAAAGCAAAGTGGATATTACATTAAGTTGTTAAGAAGTGATAAGGTGGTGAGTACAACTCTAATGAATTTAATAAGTTTTATGAAAATATTGGTATGGAAAGGCAATTGACGGTTGAGTATACTCCACAACAAAATAGAGTGGCCGAAAGAAAAAATAGAATCATTGTTGAGATGGTTAAATCAATGGATTATGAGAAGGGTTTACCTAAATTATTTTGGGCCGAAGCAGTATACACGGCGGTTTACTTAATGAACAGATGTCCAACAAAACCTTTGACAAATCAAACTCCAATTGAAGCTTGGTGTGGAAGGAAGTCGTCGATGAACCACTTAAAAGTTTTTGAGTGTGTTTGTTTTGCACATGTTCCTAAAGAAGTGAGGTACAAGTTTGATGAAAGTAGTAAAAAATATATTTTTGTGGGTTATAGTTCTAAATCAAAGGGTTATAGACTCTTTAGTTTGAAAAAAAAAAGTTATTATTTGTAGAGACGTTCTTTTTAATGAGAATAATTCTTGGAATTGGAAAGAGAAGCTTTGAGCATGAAAATGAAAATGAAGAAGTTGAAGTTCCACCACAAATGTCTCCAACACCCAACTCTCGTTCATCTCTTTCTACTTCCTCAAGTTCAGACACTTTATCTTCAAGTTCAACTCCAAAGAAAATGAGAAGTCTTAGTGATGTATATGATAGACGCAATTTTTGTGTGGTTGAACCCAAAAGTTGTGAAGAAGCAATCAAAGAAGATGCTTGGAAGATGAAATTCGTGTGATTGAGAAAAATAGCACTTGAAAGTTAGTGGAAAAGACAAAGAATAAAGAGGTCATTGGGATGAAGTGGATTTATAAAATGAAGCTTAATCTGGATGGTTTAATTCAAAAAAAAATAAAANAAAATAGCACTTGAAAGTTAGTGGAAAAGACAAAGAATAAAGAAGTCATTGGGATGAAGTGGATTTGTAAAATGAAGCTTAATCTGGATGGTTTAATTCAAAAAAAATAAAGCAAGGCTTATAGCAAAGGGGTATTCACAATAACCCAGTGTCGATTACCAAGAGATTTTTGCTCCAGTTGCTTGACTTGATACAATAAGACTTCTTATTGCTCTCATTTCACAAAGGGGCTGGTTTCTTCATCAATTTGATGTAAAATCAGTATTCTTGAATGTTGTATTAAAAGAAGAAGTTTATGTAGAGCAAGCTCAAGGCTTTGTGGTCAACGGTAAAAAAGAAAAAGTGTACAGGCTAAACAAGGTTTTGTATGGGCTGAAACAAGCACCTCGGGTATGGTATAGTAAGCTTGATTCCTATTTTAATGCAAAGGGATTTTAAAGAAGTAAAAGTGAGACAATCTTGTACATCAAAATGCAAGATAATACCGGTATTTTCATTATATCTCTTTATGTTGATGACTTGGTTTTTGCTGGGAATGACCAATTAATGATTGAAAATTTTAAAAGAGAAATGATGAAAATATATTAAATGAGTGACTTGGGACTTTTACATTACTTCTTGGGTATTGAAATTTATCAACAAAAAGATGGAGTTTTTATTTGCCAAATGAAGTATGCAAAAACTCTTCTTGAAAAATTTAGAATAAGATTAGTTGTGAATGAAAAGTTGTTCAAAGATGATGGAACTAAAGAAGTTGAAGCATCTTTCTATAGAAACTTAGTTGGAAGTGTTTTGTATTTGACAGCTACAAGGTCGGACATTATATATGCTATAAGTTTGTTATCTCGGTTTATGAACAAACCAAGCCAAATTCATTTTGGGGCAGTAAAGAGAGTGTTATTCAAAGAACACTTGATTTTGGGATTATGTTTGGAAGGAAAGTTGATGTTAAGTTACTTGGATTTTGGGATAGTGATTGGGCCGGAAACATTGACGATATGAGAAGCACTTCGGGTTATGCACTCTCACTTGATTCCAGTGTAATTTCATGGGTGTCAAAGAAGCAACAAAGTGTGGCACAATCATCAACTGAAGTTGAATATATTTTACCATCATTGACTACTTCTCAAGTAATTTGGTTGAGAAGAATCATAGAAGATATTGGTGAAAAGTAAGGTGAAACAACTCTAATTTTATGCGATAATAAATCAGTAATCATCATGACAAAGAATCCCGTCTATCATAGCCGAACAAAGCATATTGCAATCAAGCATCACTTTATTCGAGAAGTTATGGAAGATAAAGAGATTCAAATCAAATATTGCAAGACCAAAGATCAAGTGACAGACATTTTTACCAAAGCAGTTCCTAAAGATAAGTTCGAATTTATAAAAAACATGCTGGAAATACAACAACACAGCATTAAGGGGGAGTGTTAAAAATATAATACTAGATAATACTTTGTTGTTAAGTGTATCTAGTTGACTTGGGAACACAAGGAGTTATGTCTTGGGTCTTATTATGTGGTTAATAGTCTAAAAAAGTGAGTGGTCAAGGTGTATCTTGCAACCTATATCTATGTTAAAAATATGGAATATAGGCATAGAAAATTATTCCAAAAGACATAGGTATATTGTCTTTATTTATTCTACCACAAACATACAAAGGCTGAAAATATAGCCAACAAAACAAAACAAATCATAAAAACAAGATTTTAAAAAGAAAAAGAACAAGGACATTTACATGTTGTAGAATGGCATGTGCTCTACTTCAAGAAGGTGACCACACAGGTCATATATTGTCAATTCCTTATGCTCATATCTAAACGTTTATCTCGATAATTACATGGTGTATGTGAGACAAGAGAACCGCATGTACCCAAGATTATATGAGTATACAAATATGCCTAAATACGTTTACTTTTTTTTTTTTAACAGCCCAAATACTTAGAAAAAATAGTTCTGCAATTAAATAAGGATTAAGGCAATGCAACTTGAAGTCTTGAAACTACTTCTGCACTCAACGAGAGAGAGAGAGAGATTGGTACCATGAGTATTATAAATTATGATGAATAACTTCAAAGAATTGAACACTAATAAACTATTAGACTCGTTTTGGTACAAGATAATGTCAAGGACTACATAAACTATGTACCTGAGCATAATTTTCTAAGCATCTTGTAGAAAAACAGTAGTTTGTGCATCGAAAAAAGTGAGAATAAGTTGGATTCTTCAAGGAAAATGCTTCTCTAATCACATACTTGGAATTATTAAGTTCATTTTCGTACAAGGATAGGGCAAAAATTGAAAGGTGCCTTACCTATACATACATGACACATTACATATTAATATANGGAATTATTAAGTTCATTTTCGTACAAGGATAGGGCAAAAATTGAAAGGTGCCTTACCTATACATACATGACACATTACATATTAATATAAAAATTGTTTGAAAAGGTTTTTTTTTCTGATAATTAACATTTTCAAAAAAAAAAAATCTAAATGCTACCGAAAAAATTGTTTAAAATGATGTCATGCACAAAAACACCCCCCCAAAAAAAATTCGAAACTAAAAAGAATAAACTTAAAAGCGTAAAATTGTATGATTTGATTTGGAAACTTACGTTCACCGATAAAGTGAAGAAATACAAGTTAACTATCAAAACAAAGATCATAGATTATTTGAAATTGAAGCAAAAGATCAACGGATTCATAGTTGGATGGTGAAATATTATGTGGTCTGCTGCCTATTCATAGGCACAAAAATAAAGATTTCTTCTCCACAATTAACTGTGTCTTATTGAATAATGCATTCTCCAAGAACTATGTCTTATAAGATCAAACTATGTCTTATTGAATAATGCATTGTCCAAGAACAACATGGAATTTAAGCTGTTATTCAACAGATGATGTTCATGATATCATTATAGATATCAGGTCAAGCCACTAGTTTATGGAGAGATGAGACTTCTCTTCGGATATAGCATGCACTATTGTTATTTTAATTAGACACAAACACGATATCTGATATGCCAATATTTTAACTTCGGACATTGATGAATATCTATAGATCCTGTCACATCTCTAATAGGGTGTACCGTGCAACATAGCACTGTAGTAGACTTCGATGAACCACATTTAAGCTAATCAATTAACATTCTAGATTTCAGCAAAGCATAAAACTGTTCCCCACTGTACCACAGTTTCTTCAACACCCTCATTTCTTCTCTTTATACGGAAAAAGTACACCAGTCCTCGTACAAGAATGTGTGTGTACGCGCGCNCATTTCTTCTCTTTATACGGAAAAAGTACACCAGTCCTCGTACAAGAATGTGTGTGTGTATGCGCGANCAATGTTTCTCTATTTTCTCATTCTTTCTTTCACATACTTCTGACTCTCGGAAAAAAAAAGTTGTGAGATTTTTCAGACGTATTGAAATATCTCATCTACTTGACCAATAAATAGATATACATCATCCAAGATTTTAANGCGCGAATTCACATACTAGACATGCCAGCTCAAAGTTTCAAGTTTACTTAATGTAACCTTAACCACACATATACAACCACCAAGAACGAATCTCAGTGACCACAATTAATTTTGGACTAATGGGGTTTGCTACATACGTTTGTTCCATACAATAATTATGCTTTTAGGAATTCTAGACTTGGGTAGTCTACGCCTATTTGACTATGATGCATAGACTTTCTAGTTTACACATACAAGCATCAACTTACATTCTTCCATTAGAAACAAAAATTTCTTTAATCCCAAACCTCAATTTCCTTTAAGAAACCAATCTCTTCCTATGTGTTTTCATGGGTTCTAGTTTTTCGGGTTGTTAGAGAAATTGCTTATCTGTAACTACATGAGTTCTACCTGTGTTCAACAATGTTCGAGAACTGCTTTGTGTACCCATTCAGGTGTCTTGAGCTACGATATGAACTCCATTTTCTGAAAATTTAGATTAATTTCTTACAACTTAGGTTAAAGAGATAGAGAATTCGAGATGGATGTGAATGTTTTACAAATTACTTGGGATACTTCCATGGCAGCTAAAAGCTTGCAACTACTCTAAAGGTTTCAGTTACACTAAAGTGCCACATGAAGTTAAAAGAGTTTTGTAACGTAAAAAGAGGTTTGTCTTTAGGTTACCTCAACCATTGATGAACTGTACTTGACATGGACAAATTAGTCTTTTTATTAGCAGCTGTGCTTAGATACTATCACCATCATACTAATATGATTGTGTATATGAATTTGTTTTACGCGTTTCATAGCCTGTTTGAGTTTCGTTGTAATATTTTTATTTTTTTTAAAAATAAAATTTATTTTCTTATAGGAAAAAAGAAAAAAAAAAGATGTGTACCTGTTGCTGGAGGGCAAGGATGTGAGCAACACAGCCATTGACGGGGTCTCTAAGCCGTGCCTGTGCCTCATAGCATATGCTAACGACTGCTTCGACCCGTTTATTCACCGGAATATGTAGAAGAAGCTTTGAGACGTTACTTGCTCCGAACACTTTGTGCACAGCTGCAAAATTTGCTGCACCTTGTTCTGAATCAAAATAAGGTGCAAATATGCACCCAGCTACACACTTCCTCCTCAAGAACTTGCATGCCCCACACGGTCCACCACCACCACCACCACTGCTACCACTGCTGCTTCCACCGCTTCCCGCCCCACCACCGCCACTGCTGCTAGGGTTTGCACTCATTTTCTTGTGAAATTGTCTTTATTGATCTTTGAAGTTTTTGAACATCACATAATTAGGGTTTCTGGGGTTCTTTTAGGAGACAGAGAGAAAGAGAGAGGGGGGGGGGAGAGAGAGAGAGAGAGAGAGAGAAGGGGGGGTTCTAGGGTTTGGTGGGGGTTGTTTTGTGAAGGGGGGGTTTTAAACACTAAATAAAGTCTTTAAAGCCACGCGAGAAAGCAAACCACATTTAGCTGCTTGCGTGAAGCAAACATGAGAATTGAGATAAGCCAACTGCTTTTTTTTTATTTATCTTCCTTCATCTCGTGAATTTTGGAAAACAAAGCTCATGTTTCTCCTCTCTCTCTCTCTCTCTCTCTAAAAGTATACGTATTTGTGATGTGTGCATCCAAGTTTGCTTTAACCATATGTTCTGATGATACTACCTTTTTACAAATCAAAAACAATGGATTTGAAACGTGTCAGTGGGACTGTCTCTCTATAAGCCTCTCTGCGTGTTTTAAGCTGCGTAGATGGCAAAAGAAGCCAGGTAGCCAACTTCTCTCTCTCTCTCTCTCTCTCTAAGTCGAAAAAGACTGACCGCAACTCAGAGAAAACGGCTTTGCATTTCATCAGGACAATGTTAGAAAGGCATTATTGTCCAGAAAAAAACTATTTCGGTATCACTAAAATAGTACCTTATTATGAATTTAGAAAGAGAGGGGTAATACTTGAAGTACGAGCATACAATTCCGCGGGTAACTCAACTCAAACTCAATAAAATCTCATTCCAATTATTTGAAATTAATGACATTTATCGTGTTTCTTGTTATGTGTCGAAACTAAAAGTTAGTAAATGGAATATTCGACTATAAAGTACAATGTTTTAAAATTCAAAAACTCGACAACGGTTTTATTCCAATTTGTTCGGAAAAAAATCCAAACATAAAAAAAAATAAAAAAAATTCACACAAATCATGCCATTGGCTAATGAAGATTGTCTTTGTTTTGGTGGGGGTGGGGTGGGGGGGTTAGGGAATGGTATGCTAGTTCATTCCCATCAATTTTTTTCAAGTAAATGTGATTTGTACCCACCTAAATAAATTGCAAACAGAAAAATTTAGTGCTCCTATTGACTTCATCTTCACTCAAGGCTAAAAATTATCAAGTTAATTACTGTCCCATCACCAAATTAATTGGGGTTAAGAATCAATTACCAATTTCTTAAAATGAAATTTATTTATTTTTTAAAAATAGTTATCAATGTTTCTCTATTTTCTCATTCTTTCTTTCACATACTTCTGACTCTCGGAAAAAAAAAGTTGTGAGATTTTTCAGACGTATTGAAATATCTCATCTACTTGACCAATAAATAGATATACATCATCCAAGATTTTAAACCATAATTTCATGAATTTATCATAAATAATGAACTTACAATGAAAATAATTAGAAGGATTAACCAAACTCTAATTTGCTATTATGCTCATGAAAAGTTTATGAATAGTGCATAAAATGGAAATAGTACCTTGTTATGAATTAAGGCCGCCTTACTCCATGCATACTCAACTAGAAACCCAACTACTTGTGTGTATATTTTCCTATAATGGAGAATCATCTTAATTACTTCTTCTTTGAATTCATGTCCAAAACAAAAACATTGAACATGCACAATCACCTGCAAACTAAGTAGATTATTTGAAGAGTACTAATGCTATATTGACTAAAAGATGAGACCAAAAATAAGAACTAAATGATCTAACATTATTTATAATGAAAATTTTAAATTTCAAATGTGAAAGTGGGACTAGCAACACCATTATACTAATGCTACATCATTATATCCCGCTTTTTGAGTTCAAATTATCATTATTTTTTATTTAAATTCAGATTAATTTTAATTAAATAAGCTCGAAGTTCAAACGTACAACTTTAAATTTCTTATGTTATTCAACCACTGTATCGATTAAGTATCTAATTTTTGATTTACATAAGGGTTGTTATTCTGAATGAGGAAAATAAGATTATGAAAAATTTTACTTTTAATGTGACAATTATAATGGATTTGATAATTAAATTAGATAAAAATAGTATTTTCAAAAAAAATATTTAGGTTCGAACCAAAAGCGAAAGTGGACCGTATTGGAGTTCAAAGCCCACCGAGAGAGGACAAACGTAACGGCGGGGGCGTTACTCATGTGTAGGACCCACAGCAATTTTCATTTAGGAAAAAAAATATATTTCATTTAGTAATAAAAAAAAATGGGAAATTTGGCGAATAGATTTATGACGTCATTCGTGTGTAGGACCCACATACCCATTTTGTTTTANGAGAGAAGGGGGGGTTCTAGGGTTTGGTGGGGGTTGTTTTGTGAAGGGGGGGTTTTAAACACTAAATAAAGTCTTTAAAGCCACGCGAGAAAGCAAACCACATTTAGCTGCTTGCGTGAAGCAAACATGAGAATTGAGATAAGCCAACTGCTTTTTTTTTATTTATCTTCCTTCATCTCGTGAATTTTGGAAAACAAAGCTCATGTTTCTCCTCTCTCTCTCTCTCTCTCTCTAAAAGTATACGTATTTGTGATGTGTGCATCCAAGTTTGCTTTAACCATATGTTCTGATGATACTACCTTTTTACAAATCAAAAACAATGGATTTGAAACGTGTCAGTGGGACTGTCTCTCTATAAGCCTCTCTGCGTGTTTTAAGCTGCGTAGATGGCAAAAGAAGCCAGGTAGCCAACTTCTCTCTCTCTCTCTCTCTCTCTAAGTCGAAAAAGACTGACCGCAACTCAGAGAAAACGGCTTTGCATTTCATCAGGACAATGTTAGAAAGGCATTATTGTCCAGAAAAAAACTATTTCGGTATCACTAAAATAGTACCTTATTATGAATTTAGAAAGAGAGGGGTAATACTTGAAGTACGAGCATACAATTCCGCGGGTAACTCAACTCAAACTCAATAAAATCTCATTCCAATNATTGTCCAGAAAAAAACTATTTCGGTATCACTAAAATAGTACCTTATTATGAATTTAGAAAGAGAGGAGTAATACTTGAAGTACGAGCATACAATTCCGCGGGTAACTCAACTCAAACTCAATAAAATCTCATCCCAAGNCACTAAAATAGTACCTTATTATGAATTTAGAAAGAGAGGGGTAATACTTGAAGTACGAGCATACAATTCCGCGGGTAACTCAACTCAAACTCAATAAAATCTCATTCCAATTATTTGAAATTAATGACATTTATCGTGTTTCTTGTTATGTGTCGAAACTAAAAGTTAGTAAATGGAATATTCGACTATAAAGTACAATGTTTTAAAATTCAAAAACTCGACAACGGTTTTATTCCAATTTGTTCGGAAAAAAATCCAAACATAAAAAAAAATAAAAAAAATTCACACAAATCATGCCATTGGCTAATGAAGATTGTCTTTGTTTTGGTGGGGGTGGGGTGGGGGGGTTAGGGAATGGTATGCTAGTTCATTCCCATCAATTTTTTTCAAGTAAATGTGATTTGTACCCACCTAAATAAATTGCAAACAGAAAAATTTAGTGCTCCTATTGACTTCATCTTCACTCAATGCTAAAAATTATCAAGTTAATTACTGTCCCATCACCAAATTAATTGGGGTTAAGAATCAATTACCAATTTCTTAAAATGAAATTTATTTATTTTTTAAAAATAGTTATCAATGTTTCTCTATTTTCTCATTCTTTCTTTCACATACTTCTGACTCTCGGAAAAAAGAAGTTGTGAGATTTTTCAGACGTATTGAAATATCTCATCTACTTGACCAATAAATAGATATACATCATCCAAGATTTGAAACCATAATTTCATGAATTTATCATAAATAATGAACTTACAATGAAAATAATTAGAAGGATTAACCAAACTCTAATTTGCTATTATGCTCATGAAAAGTTTATGAATAGTGCATAAAATGGAAATAGTACCTTATTAGGAATTAAGGCCGCCTTACTCCATGCATACTCAACTAGAAACCCAACTACTTGTGTGTATATTTTTCTATAATGGAGAATCATCTTAATTACTTCTTCTTTGAATTCATGTCCAAAACAAAAACATTGAACATGCACAATCACCTGCAAACTAAGTAGATTATTTGAAGAGTACTAATGCTATATTGACTAAAAGATGAGACCAAAAATAAGAACTAAACGATCTAACATTATTTATAATGAAAATTTTAAATTTCAAATGTGAAAATGGGACTAGCAACACCATTATACTAATGCTACATCATTATATCCCGCTTTTTGAGTTCAAATTATCATTATTATTATTTAAATTCAGATTAATTTTAGTTAAATAAGCTCGAAGTTCAAACGTACAACTTTAGATGTCTTATGGTATTCAACCACTATATCGATTAAGTATCTAATTTTTGATTTACATAAGGGTTGTTATTCTGAATTAGGAAAATAAGATTATGAAAAATTTTACTTTTAATGTGACAATTATAATGGATTTGATAATTAAATTAGATAAAAATAGTATTTTCAAAAAAAATATTTAGGTTCGAACCAAAAGCGAAAGTGGACCGTATTGGAGTTCAAAGCCCACCGAGAGAGGACAAACGTAACGGCGGGGGCGTTACTCATGTGTAGGACCCACAGCAATTTTCATTTAGGAAAAAAAATATATTTCATTTAGTAATAAAAAAAAATGGGAAATTTGGCGAATAGATTTATGACGTCATTCGTGTGTAGGACCCACATACCCATTTTGTTTTAGAAAAAATAAAACATAAATTATTAGAATTAGTAACAGTTCCTAACGGCGACATCACCGCGCCGTCCGATTCTTGTCCAATGCGTGTAGTAGGAAGAGGCACCACTGACTGCCACGTGTCCCGATTGAACCCTTTAACGTGACCGCTGGCTTACGTCAGAACAGTTTCAGTCTCACCAAACATAAATGTGGAATCAACATTGCTATGCACACCAAATCATTCTGAACCACCGTTGGATCAGTAAGACTCGTTATCATCCA